GCTTTTTGCAATACCATGTATTTATTTGTTAGCACTTTTATAACTATCCCTAAAATCCCTATTTCTCTCACACTCTGCTCTAGAAAACGCGCTCCGACGGCTGCTCTAAGACGAAGGTCAGCTCCGCCGTTCCTCCTCCGCCGTCTGTTCGTATACATTTCTTTTTTACGTCGGTATCAAATCATTGTTTTTATTCTTATTCTGTTGTCAATTTTTTTTGCTCCATTTGGTAGTTCGAGCTTTTTCGGATTTAGGTTTTTATGCGTCCGTAATTTTTTTTTCTGGTTGAACTTGGTTTTCTGACGCGATTTTTTGGATATGTTATTTCTCGGTTTGAATTATTTTGTTTTTAGGGTTTTCTTCTTGGTATTGGGGTGAGATATTGGAGATTAGGGTTTTAGCGGAAATGATTTTGTTCTTTATCCAGTGAGAAATGGTGATTGTGCGTGTGTTATTTGGGATATTAGGGCTTAAGATTTGATGGAACGCTAATCCACTACGTTGATTGGTATGGGTCTTTGTAAGGGATTACGGATTTGTGTTGTGAATTGCGAAATAAGATTGATGAAGTGTCGATCTACTACGTTGATTTTCAACTCTTGTAATAGTCGAGTAACAGTGAAATATTTCTTGAAATTTCTGCAATATATTCTCCGATATTCGTCTGCTCTTTCTTATGTGAACATAAAAAAGAAGTTAATAGTTGCCGATAATGCTTATTTGTATGGTATTTACGCCAATTATGAAGCACCTTATGAGTTCATCTAAAAAGTTCCTTGTAAATTCTTATTACTATTGCCCCCAATTCATAGTTGTCACCAGATTATTGCATGTCTACACATTCAATTATTGTTGTCCTAAGCAAACTTGACTTGAATTTGCAAGAAATAATGATGACCCTTTGTTGCAGGCTATTGTTAATTTCCTAAGTGGCCTTCTCTTCTTTGCGCCTTGACTTTACAATTTGATATTGAGAGCGACCTATCTAAAGCTGCCAAAATGTCTAGAAAGGGTTTGATGGAGCAGGATTTAAGCAAGTTGGATGTAACACAACTACATCCACTTTCACCTGAGGTTATTTCTCGCCAAGCTACAATAAACATTGGTAAGCTTGTACAACTGTATTTACATTGGTTTGAACTGCTTTTTCCCCCCCTGCAAGAATTGCAAATTTTCACATTTTTGTTATTTTGAAGTATTCTCTATGTTAACTGCTCCGAGAGCATATCTTCGTACTAATTCAATACTGCTCCTTCAGGTACCATCGGTCATGTGGCTCATGGTAAGTCAACAGTGGTGAAGGCCATATCTGGTGTTCAGGTATATAACTTCTTTTCCGTAATTTCTTGGAAATGTGTTTACTTTGTGAGTCTAGAAAACATTTTTCTAATGCAGTGATCTCCTTGTGAATGAGTGAATCTGATCACTGTGACATGCTTAGTATCTCTGTAATAATTCTTATAGGTTAGATCTAAATGGTTTATGTTAATTTTCTCGGACTTAATGGTTGTAGCTGACCAGTTCTTGTGATGCACGATTTGGTTATTCATATTTGAAATGATCTTAATGGAAGAGGAAATCTTACATACTAAGTATTTTGCTGGCAATTTAATTTGTTGGCTTGTTGTCATGTGCCTAAGTTTCTTGTTCTAATCCATTTTTAGTGGGCTTGTTTTCATCATCTTCTTGATGAGTAATGATTACGAGCAGTGTAATTCCTGGACTTTTAAGGCCAAGAGAGAGAATACATATGTGATTTATGTTTTATCTGATTTTGGAATACTTTCTATGTACAGACTGTTCGGTTTAAAAATGAATTGGAACGTAATATCACTATCAAGCTTGGATATGCCAATGCAAAGATATACAAGTGTGAAGATGATCGATGCCCTCGACCCATGTGCTACAAGTGAGATAAGCAATGTGGATTTCTGTTACTGTGATGTGCTTCTTTTCTTGGTTTTCATCAAACATGCTTATTTTTATCAGGGCATATGGAAGTGGAAAAGAAGACAGTCCAGCATGTGATGTTCCTGGGTTTGAGAATGCCAGGATGAAATTGCTTAGACATGTGTCCTTTGTCGATTGCCCTGTAAGTTTCTTTTAATTTTGTAGCATTTGCAACTCTATCTCATTTTGGACAACTTTGAGTAGGATGCTGTCAGAATACTGAACATCAATTTGGGTATTTGTCGATTCATATGTTGGTTTGCTTGTAAAAATTGCATTCTACATGGGATTATTTGTGAACTAAATCTTTAATTTAGGCTTCTCTCATTTCATGAGTGTTCTTACTGTTGTACTTGTCCATAGGGTCACGACATTCTCATGGCTACAATGCTTAACGGGGCAGCAATTATGGATGGAGCTTTACTTCTTATAGCTGCCAATGAGAGTTGTCCTCAACCTCAGACTTCAGAGCATTTAGCTGCTGTTGAAATCATGCGTCTCCAACATATCATAATTCTTCAGAATAAAGTTGACCTTGTTCAGGAAAATGTTGCCATCAACCAGCACGAAGCCATTCAGAAATTTATTCAGGTCCGTTTTTGCAACTGGTGTGAAACAAATTATTTTTATAGCCATATGTAAAATAATCTTCCGAATTGTCTTTTCAGGGAACTGTCGCAGATGGTGCACCTGTGGTACCAATTTCTGCGCAGCTGAAGTATAATATTGATGTTGTATGCGAATACATTATCAAGAGAATTCCTATCCCAGAGAGGAATTTCATTTCACCACCAAATATGATTGTGATCAGGTCTTTTGATGTCAATAAGCCTGGGTCTGAAGTTGATGAAATCAAAGGTGGTGTTGCTGGTGGAAGTATTTTGAAGGTAAAATACTTCTAATAACTGAACCTATTTAGTTTGGCTCACATTTGTTTTTTCTGATGGTGATCTGCTTATTCTATCAGTGTCTATGTACAGAAGCTGAAAATCGTAGAAAGTGGTCTGTCACTAGGGTTAACTTATTGAAGTCATATTTTCCTACTGTACTCCTATTGAACTCTCTCAGAAGTAGTCAACTGCGAATCAATCATCCATTAGGAATGTAAAAGAGCAGTTGATATTTATTTATTTATTTAAATTTTTGTTTGCAGGGTGTTTTGAAGGTAAACCAATTTATCGAGGTCCGTCCAGGTATTGTTGTGAAGGACGAAACAGATAACATCAAGTGCACACCTATCTACTCCAGGATTGTTTCCTTGTACGCAGAGCAAAATGAATTACAATTTGCTGTGCCTGGAGGCCTTATTGGAGTTGGAACAACAATGGACCCCACACTTACACGTGCTGACAGGTTGGTCGGCCAGGTTCTTGGTGAAGTCGGTTCACTCCCTGAAATCTATGTTGAACTTGAGGTAATAATATAGTTTTTGTTCTCCTCAAATTAGTTGCATAGTTTTGTTCGCGATGGCCAATTTAAATGTTTCTACTTACAAATCGTCTTTAGGACTATTGCGTAAGACTGTTGCATGATAATGTAATATACGATTATCTTATGTAGGGGATTTATGATTATACAATCCGTGTATTGGTTAATATCCGTGTTGATTGGTTAAAATCCGGGTTCTTTTTTTATGTCATGGGCTTGAAAGCCGAACCTTGATTATATTGATTATCAAGTCCCTATACAGATTCGAAAAAGAGGTCTAAATGTAATGAATATGTTGCAACAAATTCTGCAATGGCTGTTGATCATGTCTATTGAATGCAGGTGAATTTCTTTTTGCTGAGGCGATTGCTAGGTGTTAGGACAAAGGACTCAGAAAGGCAGGTTAAGGTGTCGAAGCTGACAAAGGGAGAGATTCTTATGTTGAACATAGGATCCATGTCAACAGGTGCACGTGTTGTTGCTGTGAAGAATGTTTTCGCTAAACTACAGCTGACATCCCCTGTGTGCACTAGCAAAGGAGAGAAAATTGCGCTGAGCCGAAGAATCGATAGGCACTGGCGTCTAATTGGCTGGGGTCAAATCCAAGCTGGGATTACTCTCGAGGTTCCCCCCTGTCCCATCTAAGTGAACTAGTTCTCTACTGAATTTACACCGCAAACGAGAGTAGAAGAAAAACAGAGAACTAGATGGGAACAATTTTTGTTCGATGGAGGAGAAAAGATTTTTTGGATTTTCGGATACTTATGTGTTTATTTTTTTTTTTAAATTACGTTTTTTTGCTTTTAATATTGTTTGTCTGAAGTTGGTTTAATTGCATTTTGGACGTTGAGTGTTGAACTAAAAACCAATCTGTTGCAGTATGATTCTTGTATGCAAATTGTCTTGAGTATGGCCCATTTACGAATTTTTTGGACTTTAGTAGGCCCAATTTCGATTTCTGTAAAATTATGGGCTTCTTTCATATTGAAAAAAGTTTCTAATTCTAAAAAAGTTTGGGATTATTACTGGGCCCAATTACTATTTCGAGACAAGTTTGGGCTTTAATGGGGCCCACTTTCAAAATTTTGGCTTTTTAGTAGGCCAAATTACAATTTACAGAACATTATGGGCTTTTTATTAGGCCCATTTACAATTTATGGAAACCTTTGGGCTTTTAATTAGTCCCAACTATCTGAAAAAGTATGGGCTTTTTGTTAGGCCCAATAATAATTTATGGAAAAGTTTGGGCTTTTTACTAAGGTCCAATTAAGATTTTCTGGAAAGGTATGGGCTTCTTTTTGGCCCAATTAGGAAAAATCATAATTAGGCCCAATACTGGAAAAGTTTGGGCTTTCCTTAGGTCCAATTACAATTTATCGAAAATTTTGGGCTTTTTGTTGGGCCCTATAGAAAAATGGCTTTTCGTTAGGCCCAATTACAATTTATGTAAAAGTTTATCATTTCTATTAGGCCCCAGTTACAAATTATGAAAAAATATGGGCATTTTCCTAGTCCCAATGTCAATTTTTGGTACTGGCCGAATAATGATTTTCGGAAATGTTTGGACTTTTTCTTTGGTCCAATAATCATATCGTATTTGAGATTAGGCCGAATTACAATTTCTAGAAAGTTTGAGTTCCCAATTATATTAGGCCCAATTAGGATTTATGAAAAGTTTGGGCTTTTTACTAGGCCCAATTTCGATCTTGAATTTTTATTAGGCCCAATTACGATTTTATTAGAGGGACATTTCCATATTGAGAGAGAGAGGGAGAGAGCTTTTTTCGTCTGTTGCCACACCAAGAAGCCACTGTGCTAGATGAGTCAAGTACGGCTCTGCACGAGAACTGCTGCTCAATATCCAATATCGCTCTTAGACTCTCTACCTCCCCAGCAAATTCCCTCTCAAATTTCCAAAAAAAAATGTTACACATACATGATAGAGAAATCATATACGTATGTATGTATATGCAATTGGGAAAGTATATTACATGGACTTACGTCCTTGCGGGTGCAGACACAACGGAAAGGAAGGACTAGTTCCTTGAGTTGATGGGCCGCAACTTTGCCGTCATTGTCAGAGCAAGCAACATGCCTTTCCACTTTCATCCATCACTAAAACGCAAAAACGAAATAACAAAATTAGAGCAAGATTTCAATGTCTTGTACAATAGAGTCCAAAGAATTTCGCTTAAAAAGGAATTCGTCTAGGGATGATGATATATTTCATATTGAGACAATGGCATATTTATGCAACTCTTGTTAAAACATTTATATTTCATACTTCACACATGATCAATTAAACCTCATAATCATATGGGTGAGTTATGAATGCAAAAGGAATGCGTACACACACACACACACACACACACACACACATAAAAGAACAATCCACATTAAAAAAAATAATAAATTAAGTGAAAAAAACATTTAATATATCACTTACTTGCTGGCATAATTGAGAATCTTCAGAACTGAAGACAGTTGAAGTAGCCTGACATTCATTACAAAGACAAACAATCGATCAATAAGTGAAAAACAAGTATAAGTATATAAAATATGAAAACAATGTGTTATTACAAACCGGCAGCCCAGCACTCGTGACATAAGGAGGATGGCACCAGCAGGAGGATTCTGCGACATCTATAACAG